ATGGAAAGATATATATAGAGAGAGAGCATGCGGAAGGAAGTGATACATTACATGGTCCATGAATCAACCAATCATTACTGACGGGTGTTAATTATATGCACACTGTAAAAAAAAATCTAAATAGTTCAACCAGTTTTTATTATTATTATTATATATTTTTTAAACTACAGAGAACAGGTCACAGTGTCATTTTTAAGATAGTGAGATTTAAGTTGTTTAAGCATGTCCTAAATGAGTTTCGCGCTCAGTTTTGTTGATCTTTTAGCTGTGTAGAGATTTTTATTTACAGTGTAGTTCGTCCTGTCAATCCGGAACGCAAGTGCCTCCTATTGGTCAGACTGAAGACATGGGAGGGAAGCAGGGCGTTTCCAGCAAATACACACATATGCACACACCCAAGTACACAAAGCGACGCACATGCTCTGTGCGTGTCTGTTGCTCAGTGTCCAGTTAGAGCCCGGGTTATGGCTCAGTACGCACCGCAGGGCTGCGCGCTCTCCGACGAACTGGAATACCTTCAAGCCTATGAGGACGTGTTGGAAAAATATAAAGGTAGGAGCAGAGCTGAGAGGATATAGGCTGAGATTTTAGCTTGGATTCTTGTTTGACAGTTCAGAGTAAATGTCAGCCAGCTCCCTCCTATCTCTCTCTCTCTCTGATGATGACTGGCTGGTCTCTGTGTCCTCATCCTGTTCAGTGGAAAACTGGAAATATTTCCCACATGACATCACGTTTAGGTTGTAGTGCTGAGACAAAAAGCTTTGTTCATGTTTGTTGTTTATCCTTTAAACCTCTTGCTTATGTAATCAACTAAATCTGGAATAAAAGATTGAATGAGAGCAAAGTCTAATATACTTTCATACTCAGAATTATTTTTTTCCTTGGGTATATGGAGATCTCAGATAAAACTCATTGCATGCAGTTGAACTGACCTGTGCGGTGTCTTTAAGCCAGGCAGGACCATGACATGGCAGTATACAGTGTCAGCTCACATCAGCAGCTCCTTTTGGATCTATCACATTGATTAGCGTAATTCCTTCACATAGAGGAGGTTCCCTGTGTTGATAAAATTATACACACGCACCCTCAGGTCAGGCTTGAGGAGAATCAAGTAGAGGTGAATTCAAATTGGCAGCAGTGTTTTTAACTCTTTGTGAGCCCCAGTATTCTTAGAAGAAACCTTGAAACCAACGTCTCATGCGATAATGCCATATTGCATGTGGTCTTTTAGCAATTGGAGTATGTGTTGTGAATGACTGTCAGCTACTACCACATTTCATTTTATGCCAATATCTGTCAAATTTACTGAGAATCATCATTTCTGTGTCGATTAGCTGCGGTGGCCATTTAGAACTGGTTTGACTACAAAACTTAACAAGTTGTATATGTATATGCAATCATTTCATTAAATTTGTCCAGTGGTTAATGACATGTTTTGCTAACAGAAAGTCAGGGTTGACTTAACGGTTTCACGTAAAGATGTTGCACGTTGTGTTGTGCTCTATTTGTTGTAGGTGATGCTCAGCTACTACCACACCAAATTTAAAATCCATGTGAAAATGGCTGTTAAAGCCATTTTTGCTTTTCTAAGTTCATATAGTTGTGGCCATCTTGAATTGAGCTGAATCCAAAAGTTAATAAGTTGTAGACATTAACCCAGTGATTATTTTCTTAAAATGTCAGTACCGTATTTTTCGGACTATAAGGCGCACTTAAAATCCTTTAGTTTAATTTTCCAAAAATTAACAGTTAGCCTTATAAACCCGTGCGCCTTATGTATGTATTAATTCTGGTTGTTCTGACTAACCTCGAACCAATTTGATGTGGTACATGGTGCTCAAAAATCTGTCAAAATGTTTTAGTTTTGTTTAGTTCATTCATTCAACCTTTTATTTATACAGGTTAATCCCATTTAGCCTTGGGGACTCATTTACAAGACAGACCTGATTTCTTTAACAAAGAGTGATGACAACAGTGGATAACAACAACAACAATAGACAGTCATAAAAGAGGCATACAAATAATTTTTTTTAATTGAACAAATTAAAGTAAAATGGCAACCAAAAGGACAGTCAAAAGGGAAAGTAGTGAAAAAAAACCAACAACAAAAAACCAGCTAGGTTATAAGGCGGTGTAGAAAACTAAAAACAGGAACATGTCTGCATTGGTTTTTCCCAGGAACTTAACAGATGTTTAAAGCCACTTAGAGAGGTCAACGTTGAGAGCTTCAGATCTTTTTGCAAGATATTCCAGGAAACAGGAGCAGAGTAGGAGAAGGCCCTTTTGACTACAAAAAAAGTTCAATAAAAAAGTACCTTTTGACTAGTTCAGTCTGCACTGAGGGAACACTGCAGGTAATAATGTCCTGGGAGCACACGCTGTAGCTGCACTCGCGCAGTGACATGTAGGAGGAGATGTATGAAGGCAGCAGACCAAGAAGTGATTTAAAGATGAAAATGTACCAGTGAGAGAGTCTGCGTGAAGTTAATGATGACCAGTTAGCCAGTGAATACAGAATGGTGGGTACGGTAGTTACAGCCAGTTATGAATCTTAGCGCACCATGATAGACAGCGTTCAACTGTGCTTGTAGGAGCGTTCATGTAAATAATGTCACCGTAATCAAAGTCGCAGTTACAAGGCATTTCATAGCATTCAAAGTTAGACAGAATCTATTTTTGAAAAAGAAACCCAGTTTAACTTTCAGTTTTCTTACTAGGTTTTCCACGTGAAGCTTATAAGAGAGATGCGAGTCAACCAAGATACCCAAATATTTATAGGAATCGACAAATTCAATCGGGACACCATTTGAGGATGAAATCAGAGGAAGAACTGCTGGGACCAACTTCATGTTTGAAAAAAGCATTCCTTTGGTTTTATTGGAGTTTAGGACAAGTTTGAGACGGAGCAAGTCTGTCTGAATGATGTCAAAGGTAGATTGCAAAAGCTGGAAGGCCTTAGCAACTGTTTTAGCTCCACAATAAACAACTGTGTCATCAGCATAGAAATGTAAGGATGCATTAGGGATGCTCTGACCTAAATTACCTATGTAGATTGTAAAGAGGGTGGGTCCTAAGACTGAGCCTTGTGGTACACCATTGTTGACTGTTAAATAACTGGGGGAAATACCATTACGTTGAACACATTGCCTCCGATCTGAAAGATAGTTAGAGAACCAACCAATGGTGTGATCTAAGAAACCAATTTCTGAGAGCTTATGACACAAGATGTTATGATCCACAGTGTCAAAAGATAATGCGCCTTATAATCCAGTGCGCCTTATGTATGAAAACAGACCTGTTCATTGATATTGCGCCTTATAATTCTGTGCGCCTTATAGTCAGAAAAATACGGTAAAATCTTTGTAGTTCATGAGATATTTTGCTAACAAAAATGAGTTGATAACCATTGTTTATTGCAAAGTTTCAAGCCAAGATCTTACATAATACTGCTCTGTGCATAAGTTGAAGATTAGTTTGCTAATAGCACACCGATGTTTAGCTCAATATCTGCAAAACTGATTTTTTTGTATCCATTTGCATGTTTGATAAGATTGTTTTGTCATGGAAGCCACATTGAATGGAGTTGACTGTGAAAGGTCAGTTTAAAATCAGTTTTAGAGCTCAAGCCGATGGTTACTTTCTGCAATTTTCATCATAATCTCCTCAGTGACATAAGATTTTTGTTAATTTTACCCCCAACCCCCACCCCCCCCACACACACATACTGGTAATTGCTCCTCCTTTGTGTTTGGTGGTGGGCAATAACAGCCCAACAAGAAGTAAAGCTTTGAATAGACTGCATGTGCTTGTGCTCTCAGCTGTTGAGCGTTGTAGCCAGCGGAGTCATTCAGCTGTGGTATTAGGCCTAAACACTGTGACTGAACTCTGATGGGGTCACATGATGCAGCATCATCCTGCTTTTATCAGACAGACGAGCTGTAACAAACAACAAGCTCAGATATTTTCCCGTTTTCAGCCAATTCAGCAAGTCCACGATCAGTTTTTAGATTCTGTGAATATCCACCAGTTGTTAAATGAACAATGAATCCATCAAAAAAAGGTAAGATGGGGTTTTTCAATCAATATCGATAAGTTTCAAATTCTTCTATATGCATGTGTTCCAGTTTCACACCAATGCAGTTTATTACGGTACTTTTTTAGTTTATGTGCGTTTATGCTGGTTTTAGTTTAGACAATTTCTCACAATCATTTACAATCATATAATTATTTTACTTTTTAGACAATGTGAGTATGCATATTTTCCACTTATTTTTGTAAAAGGTCAGTTACGAAGACTGACAATGAAACTAAATTTAAGAGGAAGTTACACAAAATAAATTCACAAAATTTTTCTTTTTAGTTAATATTATTTGCGTTTTGTATTGTAAGAGAGCTAAACCACAGGCTGAGAAATGTATCTTTACATAACAGTCACTAGTTTTCTCTCCATAAAATTTG